TCTGTGTTCATACTTCACTCATATTAAAATGTATTGGATATTTGGGGCGCCTGGGTGGCGCAGTCGGTTGAGCGTCCGACTTCAGCCAGGTCACGATCTCGCGGTCCGTGAGTTCGAGCCCCGCGTCGGGCTCTGGGCTGATGGCTCAGAGCCTGGAGCCTGTTTCCGATTCTGTGTCTCCCTCTCTCTCCGCCCCTCCCCCGTTCATGCTCTGTCTCTCTCTGTCCCAAAAATAAATAAACGTTGAAAAAAAAAAAATAAAATGTATTGGATATAAAATGCAAATGTGAGTAGAATAGTTCCTGAGAAGACACTATAAGGGGCTTATCATAACAGATTAATTTTGTATGCTCCTTCGTTATTATTTTAGGACCTTTTCACATCTTTTGTGGAGCAGTTCTAGGTTTGTGGAAAAATTGAGTGAAAAGTACAGAAAGTTACCATAAATTCCCTGCCCCCCAGTTTTCCCTATTATTGATATCTTGTGTTAGTATGGTTCACTTGTTACAGTTGATGGGCTAATAACGATACTTTTTTTTTTTAATGTTTATTTACTTTTGAGAGAGAGAGACAGAGACAGAGCATGAGCCGGGGAGGGACAGAGCGAGAGGGAGACGCAGAATCTGAAGCAGGCCCAGGCTCTGAGCTGTCAGCACAGAGCCCAACGCGGGGCTCAAACCCACAAACCGTGAGATCATGATCTGAGCCGAAGTCAGATGCTTAACTGACTGAGCCACCCAGGCATCCCACGATACATTATTCTTAACTAAGGTCCATAATTTACATTAGCGTTCATTCTTTGTGTTGTGCATTTTATGAATTTTAGAAAGACTTCATTTTTTAAGAGTAATTTAAATTCATAGAAAAATTGAGAGAAAGGTACAGAGATTTTCCATATAACCCCTACCCCACATGTTCATACCTTCCCCCATTATCAATACCCAGCACCAGAACTGGTACATATCTTACAATTGGTAAACCAACACTGGCACATCACTGTCGCCCAAAGCCCATAGTTTGTATTAGGGTTTACTCTTGGTGTTGCACATTTATGGATTTTGACACATATGTAATAACTGTATCCACAATTGCTGTATAATACAGACTTGCTGCACAGTCCTAAAAATCCTCTGTGCTCCATGTTTTCATCTCCCCTCCTCTTCCCTCAGCCTTCATTAACCTTTGATCTTTTTACTGTCTCCATAGTGTTTCCTTTTCCGGAATGTCATATAGTTTGGAATCATACAGTATGTATAGTCTTTTCAGATTAGCTTCTTTCACTTAACAGTGTGCATTTAAGATTCCCTGATTCTTGGTGTTGGCAACTAGATTTTAAGCTCAGTTCAGAGTCAGATTTTCTTTTTCTTGGACATTTTTGACTAACAGAAAAACGTACTGTAATAATTGGTCATCCATGTATAATCTGTATCACACCATGAATAAAAATTAAATAAAAATACAGACCTACCTATGTAAACCCTAAACTATAAAATTTCCTACAGAAAATACAGGAGAAAAATTTTGTGACCTTGGAATAGGCAAAGGCTTTTTTAAATAACACAAGAATCAGATTCTATAATATTTTAAGAATGATAAATTTTGAATTTCTGCTCTTCAAAAGACTCTTGAAAGGACAAGCCACAGACTGAGAGAAAATATTTGCAAAACACCTGATAAGGGACTTGTATCAAAAAAATATAAAGAGCTCTCAAAAATCAGTAATAAGAAAATAAGCAATCAATAAAAAATGAACAAAAAATGGGATACTTCACTGAGGAAAGTAAGTGGGTAGCATAAATGAGCACATGATGTTGATGGTCAACATCATTAGTCATTAGGAAAATCCAAATTAAAACTATAATGAGATAACACTGCCATTTAAAACGGCTTTAGAAAACCTCTTATTAATATCTGCTGGCAAGGATGGAGGGCAAGGATGGAATTCTCATGCACTGGTAGTAGGAATGTGGAACGGAATAGCTACCTTGAAAAATAGTTTGGCAGATGCTTAAAAGGTGAAACACGTGACCCATAGGACTCAACAATTCCCTGTCTTAGGTACTTACCTAAGAGAAATGAAAGTATATTCATATATGAGCCTATATGCAATGTTTATAGTGGTTTTGCTCATAATTGCCCCAAACTGGAAACACCTCAAATGTCTTTTAGTTACTGAATGAATAAACAAATAGTGGCTTATCTTTTCGTTGGAATACTCAGCATTAAAAAAGGAGTGAACAACATTTAAACATTAGAAAACAAATCTTCAACAACAGAAATGAATTTCAGATTCATTAGGCAAAGTCAAAGTAGCCAGGATGGGGGCGCCTGGGTGGCTCAGTCGGTTGAGCGTCTGACTTCGGCTCAGGTCACGATCTCGCGGTCCGTGAGTTCGAGCCCCGCGTCGGGCTCTGGGCTGATGGCTCAGAGCCTGGAGCCTGCTTCTGATTGTGTCTCCCTCTCTCTCTGCTCCTCCCCCGTTCATGCTCTGTCTCAAAAATAAATAAATGTTAAAAGTAGCCAGGATGAATGGGCTGCGTACCTTATGATTCAGTTTCTGTGACGGTCTTGCAAAGTTGATACCACAGGGACAGAAAACAGATGAATGATTTCCAGGGGCTGGTGAGGGGTTTGACTACAAAAAAACATGAGGGAAGATTTTTAGGTCCTGGATTTGTTCTGTACCTTGATTGTGGTAGTGGTTATGTGACTAATGCACTTGTCAAAACTCAGAATTACAGCTCAATTAGGTAAATTTTATTGTATGTAAATTATACCTCAGTATACTTTACTTTAAAAAACAAAGTGAAGTGTATATTATGAAGAATCCTGTATTCTAAACTTTCCTAGATGGGAAAAACAACTGTTTCAAATAAAAATTGACTCTAGAAAGTAAAATTTGAACTGCTTAGTGTGAATTACATAATTACATTAGTTCTTCCTGTATTTCATTTTTCATTTTATTTCCTGCACATTGTTTAGGGTTCCTTTATCCATTCCAGCTCTAACATTCCAGCTATTTATTCTTGCATTAATGTAATAGTCAACCCCAGAAGAAGCAGCCAAAGAGAAGCCACACTTTAGAGAAATTGGAAAAGACATTTAGTCTCCCCACAGTGATTTTTAGACATTTACAACTGGCCCTAAAACTTGGTTCTTGTAAATAAATGCCATGCATTTTGAAGGGCTCTGAGTTTCTTTTCAGTCGGTTTTGAGTAATTTTTTGAACTGATCATGCTGGGCCACAGTGGAGATGGTGTGATCCTGTTCTCTGCTGCTAAGGCAATAGTCTTCTGTTTGTCCAGTGAAAGGGTGTTCCCCTTTCTGATGCAGAAGAAAATGCAGGTTTTGGAATGCTAGGACTACACCTACTCCTCTACGAGCTGAAAGAAGTTTTCTTTGAATGGAGAAAGACGTCAGCTACAAATCGGTTAACTGTGAAGCCTCCACTCTAGAATCAGACCGTCCGAGTTCCTATCTTAGCTCTGTCTCTACTGCGTGATCTTTGGCGAGTTACTTTATCATTTTGTGTCTCACATTCCCAATCTTTAATATGGAGATGATAATACCTACCTAGAGAGAGGTGAGATACAGAGATATCACATATGAATGGATAGCTGTTATTACCTAATCTGTAATGTATCAGAAGTCTTGGGCATCCCATAAAATCTAATCGCCATGTTAGGAAAAAGTTGGGAAGAAAATGTGTTCAGTATTTCAAACTAGGATGCCAGGAATTTATTTCTTCACACCTCCTTTCTCTGTTTCCATTGAGGTTAGTAGAGTCAGTGAAATTATTTATGGCTTTTAGTTCCCAGACACTGGTGGGTAACAAAGACAGGTAGAAGAGGAGGCCAGAAAGTTCAGGGTAAGGGGCAAGGAGACCATGGACAAGAGCCCCAGAGGAGAGTCAGGGCTGAAGGTAGAGGCTAGACAGTCAGAGATTAAGGGATCAAGTACTCATGGAGGTCCAAGCTTCATTGGGACCATTACCTAATTATCTCTTCTCTCTGATTCCAATGCTTATATTGGTATTTCTCTGTTCTGCAAATCTGCAGCTCCTTTGAAAGTTTTCTGTGGGATTTAATGTTCCCTAACTTTGGAGAACCTGCATGTGAAAAATCCCCCTTTTTTCATAGATTCCACTACTTTTGGGGAGGAGAGAGGAGTGGGGGGAGGGAGGAAGGTAAAAAACCTGAGAACCATGGTATTTAAAACAGCTTTCTGAAATGTTACCTGTAGTCCTTATTTTAATGCTTTCTGAAATTTTGTCAGGAAGGGGGCATGTTTTTAAATTAATGCATATATAAAATAGTATATAGCCTTGTAAGTGAGGTCATAGAATCTTACTGCCCTTTTAATTAAACTATCAGAAATCAAGAATACTTTTTAAGCCCTAGATCCTAAAATTTGAGACTAATTTGTAGAATCATGATTCTCTCTTTTTTTAAGTTATTTACTTATTTATTTTGAGGGGGTGGGGAGGGACAGAAAAAGAGGGAGAATCTCAGTCTGACAGTGCAGAGCCCATAAAGGGCTTGAACTCATGAAACTGTGAGGTCATGACCAGAGCTGAAATCTAGTGTCAGATGCTTAACCAACCGAGCCACCCAAGTGCCCCTAAAATTATGATTCATTTCATTTATGAAGCCATAAAGATGATGAGAGTAATCATTTGAAACAAAAAAAAAGGGAACAGTTTTATTTAAAAAAACATTTTTCTATTTTTTTAAGTTTATTTATTTTGAGAGAGAGAGAGCACACACATGTGGGGCAGAGAGGGAGAGAGAGAGAATCTCAAGCAGGCTTTGCACTGTCGGCACAGAGCCCAGTGTGGGGCTTGAATTCATGACCTGAGCCTAAATCAGTAGTCAGACGCTTAACCAACTAAGCCCCCCAGGTGCCCTGGAACAATTTTAAAAAATATTTTTAGAAAACCTTTTATAACAAGGACTTAAAATGTCATATCCATCTTAATATCTTTGAATGTTCCTTTATAGCTGTGCAATGGAGGATCAGTGACAGATCTCGTGAAGGGTTTTCTGAAGAAGGGCAAAAGAATGAGTGAGCCCATAATTGCCTATATTTTACGTGAAGCACTATTGGTAAGGCAATTTAAATTGTTTGTGCATTAATTATGAGGCAGTTCTAGTTAAATAAAAAATGTGGATCCTATTTTTAGGAAAATACCAGTACATTGGTATTTGTTGATGCAAGAGTATATGCAAAATCGGAAATGTTTAACATAACTAATTATTTGTTAGAAATCTACCCTCCTTGTGTGTCAACAGAACCTGGAGTTCTGATATCCTAAGTATATTTCTGAGACTGATTATGATGAAGGTAAATAATGTGTATTTTTTTTAATAATAGGTTTATATTTGCTATTGTTTAAAGTAAGTGTATGGAATGTTTCTTCTATTGAGATCAACACGTTTTTGATAAAGTATCTGATAAGAGCTAAGGAAGGCATGCTCTGCTTTATGAATTTTTATAGAATCCAAAGTGGAAATGACATACTTTGGTTTCACTAATTCAGTGTGGAACATTTTAATGTGAATTTTAACAAATATTTCCTATTGATTTTGCACAAATGCATCCATCCGAAAAATGTTACTTTTGTTTGATGCTTTCTTTAAAGTCACTGTATATTTCTCACCTTTTAGGGACTTCAGCATTTGCATAACAACAAAACTATCCACCGAGATGTAAAAGGAAATAACATTCTGTTGACCACTGAAGGTGGAGTTAAACTTGTAGATTTTGGTAAGTTTGTTTTGAAATGCATGGGTTTGATAAATGATTTGATCATTTTCCATTACCCTCGCTTTCTAGGCATTGAAAGTGGAGAAAAACAGTGTCCTATTGAGGTAAGAAAGTACAGAGATTCTTTATAAATTTGGCCAGTGAAGATTCCCAGAAGAAAGAATGACTTCTTTCAAGTCAAGCCATAACACCGCTGTAGCGGTATGTGTGGTTGATTCTCAAAAATAGATAGCACTCCAGGGGCGCTTGGCTGGCTCAGTTGGTTGAGTGTCCGGCTCTTGATTTTGGGCCAGGTCACGATCTTGCGGTTCATAGGATCGAGCCCCAAGTCAGGCTGCGGGCTGCATGTTAACAGCATGGAGCCTGCTTGGGATTCTTTCCTCCCTTTCTCTCTGTACCTCTCTTGCTTGTGCTCGTGCTCCCTTTCTCTCACTCTCTAAAATAAATAATTAAACGTGAAAAAAAGTAAAAAATAAATAAAATAGCATTCCAAATAATTGCACTAAGCCTAAGTTGTAGTCCCACGGCCCTTATTATTACTTTACAAATGGGCATGTGCCTGAATACAGGATTTTGAGAAATGAGGAGGAAACTTCAAAGGTCTCCGGGAAAATAGTTTCGATCCTAAGAAGGAAGCACAAGGAAAGATGGTCTCTTTCTTCCTTGGGACCCTCTCTGTCTTACTGCCATGCCTGAACCTGCTGCAGCCACCTTGCTCTGTCCTGAGGTGCTCCATCATCCCAAGTGGAAAGCCACCCTGGAAAAGGCAGAGCTGAGAGATGGGAAGAATGAGAGTCCTTGATATAATTGAGCCACTAAATCAACAGATTCTGGAGCCTGCCCCATCAAAGGACCTTTTGTCATGTGAGATAATAAATTTCCATATTTACTCAGCCAAATGGGTTTCTGTGTCATAGCCAAAGGCACCATAGCTGATCCTCCCACATTTGTCTGGGGAGTTATTTACCAGTGTGACAGTGCCCTTCCACACCTCCTATCATTGGATCCCTAGGAGTGCACTGCTCCTGGGAAGGTGGGCGACATTATTCTAGGACATCTCAGTGTCCTTCAGTCACCTTCCCCTCCCCTTTCCCTCACTCTGGCTGGGGAAGGTATCTCTCCTTGTGCTTCTGTACCCTATATATTTCTCCCTGTGTTTGTGTTTACAACTTGTGCCTGAAGTGGAAAGCAACAACAAAATCCTTTTCATTGCTCCATAGAAAGAGCCAGTCTCTTCGGTCGTGAAAGAAAAACTTAGTCAACCAGTAGCTTTGAGAAATGCAGACTTCCTGGGATACCCTCCAAAGTAGTCTAGATTTCAAACATATACCGATATAATTAATAAGGTGGCCTTTTGTACGATATCTTTGTAAATAATCATAAGTTGGGAAGCTGACAAAATATGGGCTTTGGTTTTAGATTAATTGGCTTATGGACTTTACTTTCAGCAGCAATTAGAAAAGAGGGCCAGTTGCCTATTCAATGTGTTACCAGTGTTGGATACTAAAATGCTATTATTTGCATGTAAGAGAATTCTTCTGTGTCTATCCTCCATGGTAAGAGGATGTGGATTCAGTTTGCCTAAAATGATGTGTAGATTTTCGTATGAATTCAAACCTGAGGATGGCATGCATGGTGAAACTTCTCAAAGGCAGAGGAGTAAGATGTGGTGAGCATTAAGCCAAAAAAGATGTCCTCATTCAGTGTTTAAATAAGATTTAGGGAAGGCTGAGACTGGGAGCAAAGTGTTTGAGAATACATTTTATTTGAATTTCTCACCTCACAAAATACATATTAAGCTCGTTATGGCTTCTGCAGATCTGTGCATGGGGGGCTTCCAGTCCTCAAAATGTCCGAATGGAGCTCCACCACCTCATCCATCCCCAGAAGTCTGCTTCATATCAAGAGTTCCTTGTCTTGGAAAAAGTCACTAGCCCTTTTTTGTTGCTTAAGTCAGAAACCTTTGGCTCATCTGGAGTCTTCCTTTGTCTACCTCTCACATCTACAACTAGTCCCAAAGCTCTGTCTCTATTACATACATCCCCAGACTCCATCTTTCTTGCTTCTCTCTTGTCCTAGCCATCATCTCCGACTTGACCTCCTGCGGTTATACTTTTCTGAATTCCTTGCATCCAGTCTTCCTTCCTTCCTCCCCTACTCTTTTCCTTCCTTCCTTCCTTCCTTCTTCCTTCCTTCCTTCCTTCTTCCTTCCTTCCTTCCTTCCTTCCTTCCTTCCTTCCTTCCTTTCTCCTTCCTTCCTTCCTTCCTTCCTTCCTTCCTTCCTTCCTTCCTGTCCCTTCTCCACACTGCAGCCAGAGGGACCCCTATCAGAAAGCATGCTGATCCTGGCACTGTCTTGCTCATCAGTGGCTTCCACTAGCCCTTGGGTAAGCCTTTGCCTTATGATTCTCTGTGCTGGCACAGAGTAAGTACTTCATGAGGTACCTTCTCTTGCTGTTACCTATGATCCAGGTCAGTTTCTTTCAGTTTCTTAAATGCGCCACACTCTTGCTCAGTCGGGGCTCTTACACTTGTGACTGAGTACTTTGAAATATCTTAACATGTTTTTACTCTTTACCTGTCCAAGAACATTATCTTCACTCCAGTCTACCTGAGGCATCTCTCTATCTGGGGGGAAGATTAAGCTTTGTTACAGAGGAAATGCAAGAAAATGACTGGAGTAATATTCAGTTTTTAGCATTCAAAAAGAGGAATTTGTAGCAAGACCCAGGATATCTCTTGAGAAAGGTCTATGTAAATTGTTTTATCTTCTCTTTAGAGGGTTTCACACAACAGAGAAAAGAAAGAAGAGACCCTTTCCAATTCTAGGGTGATGGTGGAAAGATGAAGCAGAGAAGGAGACCAGGAGAGTGAGATGAGCTTTAAAAAAGTGAAGATGACAATGAGGGCAGATAAAAGCTCTCACCTGCACACTCCCCACCATTTGCATCCACGCTACGGAGAGGCCATTGCTGCAGACTGAGCTGAGCCATGTCCTTGTCGTTTACACATGGAGGTGTAAAGTGATTACGTAGGGGAAGTACTCAAATTGAGCTTCCCCAACTCTTCCCTTAGTTTCCAGAAACCCAAAAGTCACTGAGAATCTGTCTGGGGAGTTCCTAGAGGGGTTGCTTAGTCTGGGCAGTGAGGCACAGAGCAGATCACCTGAGCCAGGTCTGATTAGGAGTCACAGCCAGAGCTCAGAGTGTTCTCAGCTCCAGCCAAAGCCAACCTGAGCCTTCGTCTGCTCAGAGGAACCACAGGAAGCCCTGCCAGTATGAGGAGAGTGGACCATGATCTCACCCGATGCCAGTGCCGGCATGGGAGGCCAGTAGGGCACCTAGCAGCCAGGCAGACACACAGGCAAATGGCCCCAGAGGCCAGAGACCTACATACCAAAGACCCTCCCTCTTCTCCTTTCCACAAGGTCTTATAAGCCATCCCTCATCCTGTACATATGGTACCATCTTCAGGAGTGAGGAAGGAGGAGGAATGCCATCTGAGAGATGGAACAGGCACTTTTATCCAACAGAGACTGAGCTCTATCTAAAAGGACTTTATGGGTTTATTAATTCTGAGTAAGCTTTACTGCCCTCCCAGCCAATAGATAGGGACACAGGGAGGGGCCATAATAGAAGCAAAAGGAATTGTATTTTAGTATAGGGTGATTCCATTTTGTGACCAGTTGCGGACATGATGCTTTCCCTACATAGAAACCTCTCTTCACTCCTGCACCTAGCTAACTTCTGTTTGCCTGGCTGAGTACCTCCCACCACCCATACTTTGTTTAGACAACCAATTGTCACCCTTGATTGTAATCATAATTTAATTTGACTACCTTTCCTACTAAGCTATAAGCTTCATGATGACATGGTATCTCTTTGGTCTAGCACTTTGTCCCTAGAGTCAAGCATGGTACTGGCCCCTTGAACATGCTCAGTAAATACTGTCAAATGAATGATGAGAGGCAGGATTTTTCCATACAGTCGTGTGACCTTGAGAAAGTCAGTTACAATCTCCAAGGACATCAAAATGGTCATCTACAAGTATGAGAAATAACAGGCTCTACCTCATATGGTTGATTGCTGTGAAGAATAAACAGCATGATACAGGCAACCTACTTAGTATAATTATAGATACTTTATAATTTAAAAAATTTGAGGTATTACCATTATCATGAAATAGTATTCTTACTTAGCCCCTAGCTCAGTGTTGTATACATAGTAGGTACTTGATAAATAGTAAATAAATACTTTAAAAAAAATAGTTGCTAAATACTGGAAATATGAGTTCCCAAAATAGCTTCTTTCTGTTTCCAAAAAAAGTAGCCCTTTGCTAGAGTAAATTTGGTGTTACTTTAAATATCAAGCTACTTAATTATACTAAAAGAAAGATTCAGTTTGCTGATGCTAGTTATAAATATAGCCTTTAAGAAAAACCTTTGGTTTTTTTGTTAAATGGATTTAAAAAAAAATTTTTTTTAATGTTTATTTTTGAGAGAGAGAGAGAGACAGAGCATAAGCAGGGGAGGGGCAGAGAGAGAGGGAACACATAATGCAAAGCAGGCTCCAGGCTCTGAGTTGTCAGCACAGAGCCCAACGCGGGGCTCGAACCCATACACCACAAGATCATGACCTGAGCCAAAGTCGGACACTTAACTGACTGAGCCACCCAGGTGCCCCTTAAATGAGCCAAAGTCAGATGCTTAACTGACTGAGCCACCCAGGTGCCCCTTAAATGGATATGTTTCTACAAAAATTCCCTAGACACCTCGGAAAGTAAAAAGACAAGGGAGCTTGTAAACATTATTAATGAAATACATTAGCAGTCCCTGGTATATAATCAATCAATAAATAATATGATCTCCCAAGAGGTAAACTCCTTTAGGCAAATCAACTAATGTCTGAAAAAGCAGTTCTTATGTGGACTAGAAAATGCAGGAGAGACTAAATGTAAAGGGCAGTTCTCAGTTCTCATTTCTATGGATTTCTCTCTGGGGA